AGATAGATAGATAGATAGATAGATAGATAGATAGATAGATAGATAGATAGATGGATGCACACACACACACACACTGGTATGCATATGCACATGTAAACGGGTATATGAGTGTACCTGTTCCAAACTGTTTTGGGTCTTTCCCTCCCAGGTGCTCCCACTCACCCTCACATTGTGAAAACAGCGTCCATCGGAACGCTGGGGAGGACGCGCTCGCCCATGATCGTCACCGTGCCCAATGCCCCTGATGTACCAGAGACCAGCAAGATGCTGGAGGATGTGGACAGCGTGAGTACAGCGCCTCACACTGGCAGCTCGTGGTATCACAGGCTGGGTGATGAATGTTTTAGCTTCAGTCTTGAATCGTCACTCATCACACCTTCACGGGAGGTTTGCTTTGGGATTATACGATCACTTTCCAGTGGACATTGTTGTAACCACATGTTCTGTTTGTTCTTTCTCCCTTTTTGTTCTTTTCAACTTCAATCTCGCATTTGATTTGTGTCCATGTCGGCTGCTTTTCCATCATGAATTAATTTACTTAACAACCGACTGCAACAAAACCCATGGCTGGAATGATTTGATTTTCACCATCTGGTTTAACCTTGTGGCTCCTCTTTGACTGGCTTATACCCACTCTGTTTAATTTGCTCCTCCATGTTTTCCTTTCATCCGCTGCCTCTTTTTGTTTTTACCACGCTTTAGTATCATTGAGCAGCCTTCCAGCTCGCTTCATCCCACCCATGCAGCTCCTCCTGTCCGCTGTGATAGACCCCTGACTGACCCTATCCTCCTCTCCTCCTTTTCTCTCTTCCTTCCCTCCTTCCAGGTGCTTGCCTCCCTCCCTCCCTGCCCATCCCCTGCCCCTCGCAGTAACCCTGTTCCTCTCCCTCAGAGCTACGAGCCCGACGAGCTGACTGAGGAGATGGCCCACCTCGAGGGCCTGATGAAGGACCTGAACGCCATCACAACAGCGCCATGAGCACAGGAACGCTCTCTCTGTGGCTGCCACACAACGTTCGACAGACAAATAGACCCGAACTCAAACCTTCTGGAGTAATGGACACTAAACGGCCTCTTGTGCCCAGAAGGGAACTCCCCCGTTTGTTCCTCCTCAAAGCGGGGAAGAGAAGAAGAAAACTACCTTCCAGACTGAAACTTCTTCTGGGCTCCCCTTAGTCTCAGGAAGGAGATGTCCCCGAGAAGGACGAGAAACGAGACGCTTCTTTAAGTGAAGAGCGATGAACTCTGTGGTCGCGTTTAACTGGAAGTTTGTGTTCTATATTATTTTGTTCTCCGCAGCCAAACTTCACGCGGTTTACGTTTGAACTCAGACGAGACGGCCGGTTTGGGCTCTTTAGATGCTGGTGCTCGTGCAGCGCAGTGTTCGTTCGATCGGTGTTTTCTTTGTGCATTTTGTATATCTATTGGGCCGTTTCAGTGAAGTGAGCGTTGGATGTCAGCCACTCCCCTCCTTTTTTATTTTTATTTTACAAGCCTCCGGTAATATAATTTGTATCCTTTGTCATTTATTGTGCCATTTTTTTTAATGCTGTTGTATTATTATTTTTTTACACATATCCTTATGAACGTGTACATAAATGTTCTTTTTTTTTTTTTTAAGCTGCCTTGTTTGTTTTGATGTTTCAGCAACATTATTGGGATTAAAGCTGAGCACCGAGGCTCAGTTTTCATATCAACAACGGAGAGAAGCTGCCTCCTCGGCGCGTTCGTCGTCCACTTTGTACATTTTGCAGCTCTTTGTTTGTCGCGGGAGCTCCGGTTTAAAAGCCTTACCAACGTGTTTGTATGTTGGACCGCGGAGACGACTCAAGATGTCACTCGCTTCTGTGGAAGCTGCTGCGTCACTCTGTGGGACCGGATCGACTTACAGGTCAGGGTTACCACGGACTCAGGGTGCCGACCCCCCAATCGCACACACGCACACACCTCCAATCAACCAGATGCAACTGATCTTTTCTACGACGCCTTCGATCGTGTGTGTGTGTGTGTGTGTTCCAGACGTGTTCTGCTGAAGCACGTGGGCATTCGTTTGTGTTTTCGTCTTTACCGTGATCCTTTACCGTGATCCTTTTCCAGATCCGTCACGATGCAAAGATGTTGGCCTTTTGAAAGGGACTCCCAGATTTATCTTTTTTTTTTTTTTAAACATGGTAGGTTTTGTATGAAGAAGAAAAAAAAACAGGTAAACACAAATCTGCTGTAAAAACAAAAAGAAAAGATGATCTATAGTTTTTCATTATCCTCTTACCCAAAGATTTTTGTCATTTTCCAATCAAGGTCATTTTCTCTACTTTTGTGAATACCATGTTTTTTTTGCATAATGTACGTCATCATGAATGTCAGTGTACACGTAAGAGATTTTGAACTGGAGCTGAACGAGGAACACGTTTCAGAGGAAAACGATTGAAAAAGGAGGAGGAGGACAAATTTTTAAAAAGGCCCGTCTCCGTTTGGGAAAAACAATCTCTGAGTTGTAAACAGTTGAACCTGTATTGCACTTTTTCACGGTTTTTGAAAAGTACATTTCTTACATATCTTGTGTTTTAAATATGAGAAGCTGTTGGTGTAACGTAGTGTCCTAGTTAAGCAGCAGGCAGCTGGTCTTATGTTATTTTTGATTTTGCTTCAGAGATATGAACTGAGCAGATGAGCTTTTATTTTCCTGTGTGGCTCATGACATGTTCTGCTTGTTCATGTACTTTTTTTTTTTCTTTCTGTAGAAGAGAAACAAATCTGTCGCTTTTTAAAAAAAAAGAAGAAAAAAAGATGAAAAAAAAATAGTTGGAAAAAACAAGTTTTTTTTATTGGTGCTCCTATACATTGTGTATACAAACTATTATGAATACTAACAAAGTAAATGTTTCTTCCTGTCTTTATTTTCCATCAAACGTCTGCAGCATGCGCAACACGAACGGACTTTTTGAATATTTGAAAGTGAGAACAGAATTGAGTTTAAAAAGCTCTTGAATCAGATTTGGTGTGGCTCGTCGCTGAAAGGCGGGTGATGAGGTTTTTCTTTGTCTGTTTCCAAAATATTTTATGATCCACTGAACAGATTTGATTGAAACTCTCATAAAGTGTTTACTGGATGTAAATCTATAACTCTTTTAACTTTTGGTTCTCACCTGATTCATCATGGCCGCCATACCTAATTAACCTTATCAAACACAAAAGTGGCTCAAACTCAGACAGTTTGACTGGCAATGAGCTAAAATTCGGTGTGTTAGTAGCCGAGTCATCCCCAGCTAAAACTGAGCGATAACAGATCGCACAAGATCTTCGCCCAACAACACTTAGGCATTAACTGTTGGCTCTAACCCTGCTTGTCTGTTAGCAAAATATCTCATATGCCACTGAATGGATCTTAATGAAACTTTCAGAAATTAATCACTGGATGCACAACTACAACTGTTCATTATTTGAGCCAATCAGTTTCAAGATGGCCGCCATAGCTAATCCTCTTTACAAAACACAAATAAGGCTATAGCTCAATAAACATTGAACAGATTGGCCTAAAGTGTGTTGCAGTAGCTGACAGTAGTAACACGTTTCCAAGTGCTACAGATCGTGCAGGGTTTGTGTTTAAAATGTTGGCTGTACCTGTTAGATTCAGCATGTCTGTTAGCAAAATTTCTATTGAAACTTTTAGAAAATATTCATGAATGTACATCTCCAAATCATTACCATCTGGATTTAACCTAATTCAGTATGGCTCCCATAGTGAATTGATCTTAGCCAACATAAAAAAAATACCTCTAACTCATGCTAAAGTTTGGTGTGGTAGTAGCTGAGACTCTTCAACACATAAATCCCGTAATATCTCTTGAGATCACGCATAATGTGATTTTTAAAGATTGACAGGAACTGTCGTAACTCTTCCCTCCAGAAGATCTTGATTTAAAACTGGCATGAAAGTTGGCGGGTGAAATATGTTCAAGGATTGACAGGCCTTTATTAAAAATGTCCATCTTTAAAAATGTTGTTTACATTAAGAAAAGTACTTGTGGACATTTTAACTGGTTAAACTTCTTAAGGTCGTATTTTAAAAGTCACAGAGGCTGTTTTTCATACAAACCGGATTCCAAAAAAGTTGGGACACTAAACAAATTGTGAATAAAAACTGAATGCAATGATGTGGAGATGTCAAATGTCAATATTTTATTCGTAATATAACATAGATGACAGATCAAAAGTTTAATCTGAGTAAATGTAACATTTTAAAGGAAAAATATGTTGATTCAAAATTTCACAGTGTCAACAAATCCCAAAAAAGTTGGGACAAGTAGCAATAAGTGGCTGGAAAAAGGAAATTGAGCATATAACGAACAGCTGGAAGACCAATTAACACTAATTAGGTCAATTGACAACATGATTGGGTATAAAAAGAGCTTCTCAGAGTGTCAGTGTCTCTCAGAAGCCAAGATGGTAAGAGGATCACCAATTCCACCATTGTTGAGCAGAAAGATAGTGCAGCAATACCAGAATGGTGTTACCCAGCGTAAAATAGCAAAGACTTTTAAATTATCATCATCAACCGTGCATAACATCATCAAAAGATTCAGAGAATCTGGAACAATCGCTGTGCGTAAGGGTCAAGGCCGTAAAACTCTACTGGATGCTCGTGATCTCCGGGCCCTTAAACGTCACTGCACCTCAAACAGGAATGCCACTGTCAAGGAAATAACAGAATGGGCTCAGGAATACTTCCAGAAAGCATTGTCAGTGAACACAATCCACCGTGCTATCCGCTGTTGCCAGCTGAAACTCTACAGTGCAAAGAGGAAGCCATTTCTAAGCAAGCTCCACAAGCTCAGATGTTTGCACTGGGCCAGGGGTCATTTAAAATGGAGTGTGGCAAAATGGAAGACTGTTCTGTGGTCAGATGAGTCACGATTTGAAGTTCTTTATGGAACACTGGGACGCCATGTCATCTGGACCAGAGAGGACAAGGATAGCCCAAGTTGTTATCAACGCTCCGTTCAGAAGCCTGCATCACTGATGGTATGGGGTTGCATGAGTGCTTGTGGCATGGGCAGCTTGCATGTCTGGAAAGGCACCATTAATGTAGAGAACTATGTTCAGGTTCTAGAACAACATATGCTCCCATCTAGACGTCATCTCTTTCAGGAAAGACCCTGCATTTTTCAACACGATAATGCCAGACCACATTCTGCAGCAATCACAACATCATGACTACGTAGGAGAAGGATCCGGGTACTGAAATGGCCAGCCTGCAGTCCAGATCTTTCACCTATAGAGAACATTTGGCGCATCATAAAGAGGAAGGTGCGACAAAGAAGGCCCAAGACGATTGAACAGTTAGAGGCCTGTATTAGACATGAATGGCAGAGCATTCCTATTTCTAAACTTGAGAAACTGGTCTCCTCTGTCCCCAGACGTCTGTTGAGTGTTGTAAGAAGAAGGGGGGATGCCACACAATGGTAAAAATGGACTTGTCCCAACTTTTTGGGGGTTTGTTGACGCCATGAAATTTGGAAACAACATATTTTTCCCTTAAAATGATACATTCTCTCAGTTTAAACTTTTGATCTGTGATTTGTGTTCTATTCTGAATAAAATATTAGATGTTGGCACCTCAACATCATTGCATTCAGTTTTTATTCACAATTTGTTTAGTGTCCCAACTTTTTTGGAATCCGGTTTGTACTTCAAACTCTTTCCAGCACATTTTACACTGAAGGTTTTCTAGTTCCTTCCACATGTAGTGCACTAATTTAATGTTTTATAAACTATTGTACTCATGGGTGAAGATTTTGTTATATTCCCATCATTTTCCTTCATGTTCTTCAGGTAAGTCTAAACAAAATACAATTCCCCGAAAAGGACAATTTTTCATTTGTTGTAAAGATTATGACTTCTGCTGCAAAACTGTACATTTTACCTCTAATTCAAGGTGAAACTTGACAGCTGATGTTCAACCAAAAAGTCAAGAACAAGTTTCTCTGGGCGATGTGGAAGAAGAGTGGAACATCTTGAAAGCAGCCTATTGGTGGCAGAGGAGATCATAAAGACGAGCAGATTTGGAAAACAAACTTGGATGACACAAGCAATGAAAACTGATAAACTCAAATAAAAAATATTTGGACTCATTTAACATCTTACCTCCCCATCAGGTTTCAGGAAACAACACAGCACAACGACTGCTTCACTGAAGGTTTTTTTTTTAATCAACCTTTACTTAGACGGGTAAATCCCATTGAGCCTCGAGGACTCATTTACAAGAGAGACCTGATTTCAACAAAGGATGACTGAATAGAATAATTCATAGAATTATTTTAATGACATTTTTGAAGCACTGGATGCTAAGGATTATTGTGCCGCACTTTTCTTAGACCTGTCTAAAGCTTTTGACACTGTGGATCATAACATCTTGTGTCATAAACTCTCAGAAATTGGTTTCTCAGAACACACCATTGGTTGGTTCTCTATCTTTCAGACCGGAGGCAATGTGTTCAACATAATGGTATTTCCTCTAGTTATTTAACAGTCAGCAATGGTGTACCACAAGGCTCAGTCTTAGGACTCACCCTCTTTACAATCTACATAGGTAATGTATGTAAAAACATCCCTGATGGATCCTTACATTTCTATGCTGATGACACAGTTGTTTATTGTCGAGCTAAAACTGTTACTAAGTTTTTCCAGCTTTTGCAATCCACATTTGACATCATCCAGTCAGATTTTTTCCGTCTCAAACTTGTCCTAAATGCCGACAAAACCAAAGGGATGCTTTTTTTCAAACAGGAAGTCACTCACATCAGTTCTTCCTTTGATTTTATCCTCAAAAGGTGTCCCCATTGAGTTTGTTGATTCCTATAAATATTTGGGTATCTTGGTCGACTCACAACTTTCTTTTAAGCTCCATGTGGAAAACTTGGTAAAGAAACTGAAAGTTAAACTAGGTTTCTTTATCAGAAACAGATCCTGTCTAACCCTGAATGCTAGAAAACACCTTTTTTCTGTGACTTTCCTTCCCTCAATTGATTATGGTGATATTATTTACATGAACGCTCCTACAAGAACCCTGCAGATGTTGGATGCTGTCTATCATGGTGCACTAAGATTCATAACTGGCTGTGATTATCGTACCCACCACTGCACCCTGTATTCACTGGTTAACTGGACATCATTAACTTCACGCAGACTCTCTCACTGGTACATTTTCATCTTTAAATCACTTCTTGGTCTGTTGCCTTCATACATCTCCTCCTACATGTCTCTGCGTGAGTGCAGCTACAGCGTGCGCTCTCAGGACATTATTACCTGCAGTGTTCCCTCAGTGAGGACTGAACTAGGCAAAAGGGCCTTCTCATACTCTGCTGTTGTTTCCTGGAATATCTTACAAAAAGATCTGAAGCTCTCGACCTTGACCTCTCTAAATCGCTTTAAACATCTGTTAAGTTCCTGTCAAATACCAATGCAGACATGTTCCTGATTTTAGTTTTCTACATTCGCCTTATAATATAGCTGTTTTTGCTACTTTTTTTGCCATCTTATTTTAATTTATATAAAAAAAAAATTTTGTATGCCTCTTTTATTATTGTCTATTGTCGCTGTTGTCCATTGTTGTCATCATTCTTTGTTCAAATCTGGTCTCTTGTAAATGAGTCCTCAAGGCTCAATGGAATTAACCTGTCTAAATAAAGGTTGAATGAATTACTGTTAAGATGAAAGAGGAGGAAGAGCAAGGGAAGTCAGGCTCAGTATGCCAAACTGGAAAAAGAAGTGCAAAGGATGTGCAACCAGGCAAAGGAAGGGGATTGCACTGGCAAGACGGTAAGGATGCATGGAAAGGTGATAAATCTGAGTGGAAAGAACAATGTGCAGTCAGGACAAGGATGCATCAAGTCAAGATGGAGACGTGATCGCACAGAAAGTTACGATCAGGAAAAGTACATTCAAGACCTGTACAGTGACAGAGATGACGACTTGGAAATAAAAGTTGACAATGAGGGACCACAAATCATGGAGAGTGAAGGCTGGGAAAGCAACAGGGCCAGATGGAGTGGCTACAGAAATAATTGTGACGTTGGAAGAACTCGGGAGTGCAAAGAATAACAAAGTTGTTGAATAAGATTTACGACACAGGAAAGATTCCAGAAGACATGAGCAAATCAATATTTATTGTCCTCCCCAGCTGGGGCTGTTGAACGTGAACAGTATCGTACCATCAGTCTGATGATGACGAAAACACTACTGTGGATCGTCACAATGACACTGAGAAACCAGATCCATGAAGAAACAGAACAGTGTGGGTTTGTTGAAGACAAAGACTGCTTTATACATCTTGAAGGCACTGGGAGAAAGAGCTACTGAAGTCCAACAAGATCTGTATTTGTGCTACATTGACTATAGTAAAGATCAATTATTTGATTACTGAAGGAACTGAATGTCATTGGGAGAAACCTAAGAATCATAAAGAACGTCTATTGGCAAATAAACAGCTGCAAAAAGATATGAAAATAAACTAGGGAGGCTGTGAAGATTAAGAGAGGTGTGGGACAAGGTTGTCTTGTCACCAGATCTGTTCACAACAAAAAAAGTGTTAACAAGAGCAAATGGAAAAAAAATCTCTTTACTAAAAGATCATGGGACAAGTTAATTGTTTTGGACTTGCTTATCAACCTTTATCTTCTATCAACTGGAAAAATAAAGGAAGTAGCTGAGGAAGAAGCTGACAGACGGCGTTAGCTGTTTTATAGGTACAACACCCACAGGCCTCAGAACCATAGTCACCATCCCCATTTGGCATGGCAGAATAACATAGATATTGATTAATTATATGCAAAACATTACTTTTAAAAGAACTTAGCCACAAACAATCACATAAGCAAAAAGAAGTGTGTAAACAAATTGTTTCTATTTTATAAAATTAAATAATACTTTTATTCAGGTCATAATACTATTTCATATTGTTTTTCTAAAATATATTTTTATTTGTAATTTTTATCTTTTGAAATAATTAACTCAATACAAGCTTTTAAAAAGGCATTTGCTGAATTATATTTGTTTTTGATTTAAGACATTTGTTTTCAGGAGAAATAAGTAAATTGTTATATATATATATATATATATATATATATATATATATATATATATATAAATATATATATATATATATATATATAAATATATATATAAATATAATAGACAGTTACTGCTCAGTTGTAATGAGGCACTGTGACCAGCAGAGGGCGGTGCAGGTATACGTCACTTCCGGCGGGACGTCTTCGTTAACGACGCTCAATATGTCTGCCAGTTCAGATCGGAACCCTCCTCCTTTCACTGCAACAGGAGAACCCGAACCTAGACTGTCCAATATGGCAGACGGAGACAGCGACGAGGGAGAGGACATCTTTGTCAGCAACGTAAGTGTCCAGCTCTGCCATGTCCAGCTTATTTAAACATTTTACGCGTCAGCGATGAGTGCAAGTTCTTTATCTGATGATCGGACCTGCATCCGGTTTAACTGTCAGCTGCACGAAATATGTCAACTCTGCAAGACGGAGAGCGCAGTTAACTGTGAAACTTGGATAAAGTTAGCGTTTCAACGCCCAACTGCACGAGTTTCGACTCTTCCGTGTTGACTTTGCTGTTTTGAGCTTGTCGGCCTGTCCTCACGAGCCCGTTCTGCTCTGTCTCTGCTGTTTGTCTTTATGGATTTAAACGCGTTGAAGTTTTTCTTTTCTGACCCAGTTGAGTCTTTATTTTTGCTGTCGCTGTCAGTTCAACTCTGCACCTTCTTGTTGTTTGTGTTTGCAGAGTAAGCCGGTGTCCGTCAGCCGAGGAGTGTCTCAGCCGGAGAGGGTCCCTGACGAGCCTGAGGACCTGTTCGGTGAGGAGCAGCGGCCCACAACTGACCACCCCAATGGAGTTCACTCCGGTCAGGACAAAGACCTGTTTGCAGGTGCGGACACGATGTCTTTGTCCAACAGGATGCCATTTTGCAGCAGCCAACAAATTCTAGGGATGCACGAGATTATCAGTATCGGTTGATATTAATTTCAATTCAATTCAAAAATACTTTATTAATCCCAGAGGGAAATTATTTGTTGTTGTAACTCGTTATCCTCATTTCATTAAGAGATGTTATAGATACTGATGGCTGTAGGCAGGAAGGATCTCTTGAAAAGGTCCATCCCACAGTGGATCCTAAGAAACTGGCTGCAGATGCCAATCCGTCCACCCAGACTCAGCTGGCCTCTCGGTTCCCCTCCGGCTGTAGGACCGCCCAAATTGCTGGGCAGAACTCCTCCTAGAGCGATGGCCACTCCTCCCAGCAGTCTGCCGAGCTCCTCATACAGCCAACTGTAGGTGCCGAGGGATGATCTTGTCTTTCCACTGCCATGAGCCGTGTCTCCCGCCAGCTCCAGGATCCCAGTGGTCAGGCACCCGAGCACAGCTGGCAGGTAGATGAGAATGCGTCCACAAAACATCCTTTTCAACTCACTTGAGATTTTGTGCTGTAGTTGAGATATTATTTGAGCTTTAAGATATTAATCAGCTGCTGTTGGTTGTAGAAAACTGCCTTGTTGCCATGGTTACGCATCATAACAAATATCCAAAACTAAAAAAGTTTCAGTAAAAATCCTTCCAGCTGCACAGCATCTGATACCAGAGGAACCAATCATCCAAAAAAAATTGTGATTTACATCCAGAAAAAGAGGAATTAAAGTTTCCAAAAGCAAAATCTCAAAATGAAAGTAACAGAGCTGCTCCAACATGCAGCCACGTTGAGCGGCGCAATTCTAGAACATTAGCGATAAAGATCTAGAACATTAGCGATAAAGATCTAGAATATTAGCGATAAAGTTAAATATTGGATATCGGCCATCCATCAAAATACCGTCGTTTTTGCCCTATAAGTCATGTTTTTTTGCATAATTTGCATGCTCTGCGGCTTATATGCCAAAGTGACGTATTTATGGATTTTTTCTCATATTTATAAACCAATTTTTGGCAGAGATATGACTATTTTCATTCATTCTGATGATAAATATTGAACACTACCATTTTCAGCTGCTAGATGGCACTTGAGTAGTGTGGCATGTCCTTGTATCCAGGGATTAATTTGTAAAACAATTGATGCCGGAACACAAATAGCAGGCGGGGGGTGGGGGAGATCCGTGTTTTCTCTCCTATAAAATATGGAATAAAAGAGATGCCATTAACTGCATTTTGGTGTATTTTAACAGGTTGTTAAACATCTGTAAACATTTGATTAAAAACGGGTCTCTCTTATAAAAGAGTCCTTGAGGATCAATGAGACTGCCTGTATAAATAAAGGTTGAATTGAAATTACTATTTTAGAGAGCAACAACGATTAACAACCTGTGTGTGAAGGTCCTATTCTGTCCAGCATCCTAACCCCCCCCCCCCCACACACACACACACACACACACACACACACACAATGGACCCGAACTCAGCTGAATTCAGTCCTGCGTGTTGTTCTGCTCCAGTCTCTATCACCACTGTCTTCTGGTGCTTCAATTCTCTGTTGTCCTCTGGACAATCCATCCATTTATTTTAGATAATAAATTGGATTGTCTTTTCGACATTTTGATCCTGTTCTGACTCATTTTGAAACGTGATAATGTGAATAATACACATCAAACATTTCACCTGTATTTTTTTTTTATTATTATTATTGTAAGCTTTTTTATTTATTATTTTTGAAATGTATGCAGGAGTTCTGACACATTAGCAGTTGTGCGCGTGCTGCAGAGCTGTCTGGAGACGCTCCTGGTCGTAAAACGTGACTCGTCCCTCTGCACGTTCCTACTTTCGCATATCGGCTTTTGAAATGCAGCTCATTTGACCGTCAAAGTGCATTTATTAAGAAAAAGTTAAACTGAGACACACCTTTACTATAATTTTGAGCTAACAAATAATTGTTTTTAAGTGTTAATCTTGTTAAATTCTTGTTAAAGTCCTCCCGTGCACGCTCCTGTGGTCACCATTTGGCAGCCAATTGATTTTTGGCACAACGCCGGCCCACATTTCCCGGTTGTCAGCGGTGACGCAAAATAAATGCGACGTGTCAGTGGTGACTCGTAATAGATGCAGTGTATTTATGGATTTTTCCACTTTATTAGACATATTTGGACTGATGCGACTTATAGGGTGGAGAGATGTGTATGGTGGAAAATATGGTGACTCACTGATATAAAAAGTGCTGTTTTATATATATATATATATATATATATATATATATATATATATATATATATATAATCAGGCCATATATGGTGCTGTTTTTGTATATCATCATTGTGTTAGAGAGAGTAAATGTCATGAATAAATTTTATATTAAACATAATCCAAGTTGAAGTGTTGCATCATTTTCAGTCCCTTTTTGACATCTGCATTTTGTAGCAGACCAAACTAACAAAGACCATGCAGAATAATGTAGTATTTTAATTCCACAGTAGAGAAAGCTATGTAGTCTTTGTAAGTAGATCATGGTAAAAATATATCCGTATTGGTTATCGATGATGTTCATTCCTTCAATGAATACTAGGCCCTAAATTACAGAATCTTACAAAGTAAGGCTCAGTCTCCTCGGTCTTTGCAAAGTCACAACAGATTAGTTTCTCAAATAAAATAAGTTCTTTTCACGGGGTATGGCGAAAGATTTAGATCTGGAGAGTTTTGACAGTTGCTTGTTCATACTGTTGGAAATGTGTGATGTCTTCTCTAAACTGGAAAAAGTACTCGAGCAGAAAGGCCAGTATGCACACGATTCACAGTGGCATCCACGTTGTTTTGTATACAGTGTGGTAAAAATGGCAGAAGAGCCCTCCAAGCTGAAAATGACTGTTTTTGTGTAGATGTCAACACAACGTTGTGTTCAGTGTCAACAAGCCGTACATGCAGCACACATGCATCAGCAGAACTGTAAAGGTTTGAGCTGATTATCTGCTGTAGTGAACCATGGCTCGTCAGCTCATTTTAGTTTTTATTTAGGTTTATTCTCCTCAGTTTTATTTTGGAGGTTATACTCCACTCTCTATGAAGAATCATTTATTTAAAATGGCAGGGCTGCTGGGTTGAAAGTTATTTAATTTTCACTGTTTTAAGACGCCTGTTGGTGACTTTAACGGTAGGATTTAAAAAATAAAATAAATAATATCTCGGCACAGCTGATGTGCAAAGTGTTCTTAGCTCCAAATTTTGCTTTAATGCTCGATTTCGTCCCCCAAAAGGACTTTACTTCTGTCGACTCTTGTCCTTACAGCTTTTAGTCAGTTTCTTTTCAGAAGAAAAGAGAAGAACTTTGTTCTCTGACGCTGTTTACATTCGAGGAATATTTTACTGACTCAGTATACATGGCACGCCAAGACTTTTCGAAATCTACTCGTCAATATTTGAATGTAAACAAACTATTCGCAATTGTTGACAGCAAAACACGATTCTGCTGATTTTGCTTATTGTAGCAACTAAAATGCTACATACCACATGCTAATACCTATAATGCTAATGTCACAAATTATGTGGTAGATTTACAGTATGGTAGTAAAAATGCATATTTAGTGGTTCATTTTATCGCGGATAATGCACGTACAACTTGAAAACAATATTTGCACATTTTGGCAGCTATTTTGGCTTTAAATAATCATTTGTAGTCTTTAGATGCCTAATAAAGTTTTTGTCTATAAATACTGTAAGATTAGGACCACGGGATTATACACACACTTATGCCCCTTTTGCACTGCTCCTAATCAGCCCCAACTCTGCTCAGCCCTGCACACCCCTACTCAGCCTGGATTTGCACCTGCACTTTAGGACTGATTCTGGAGGCGTGTCCAAGTCCTGCTGATGAGAGTTCTGCTCCTCAGATAAATAATATTAAATTATCATTTTTATATATGAATATTTCTGTTCAGTGCCCTGAGACGACTTCTGTTGTGACTTGGCGCTGTATAAATAAACTGAACTGAATTAAATCTGATGAACCAGATTCTACAAAAACATTTCTATTTAAATCTAGAAAAAGTTAAATCTGGTCCTCTAGACATTCAAAAAAACAAAACAAACAAAAAAGTAGAAACGTTTCTTCTTTCATCCAAAAGACTTCTTCAGTCTGAGGTGCTGTATTCAGCTCATAGCTATTTATATAAGACTGAGCTGAATACAGCACCTCAGACTGAAGAAGTCTTTCGGATGAAAGAAGAAACGTTTCTACATTTTGGTTTTTGTTTGTTTGTTTTTGTTTTTAGAATGTCCAGAGGACCAGATTTAACTTTTTTTTAGATTTTTCTACCTGGATTATTGAGCATGCATCAGGATATCTATATTTAAAATTCTATATTTTTCTTCATCATTTGATGTATTTGCACTCATTGTGGTTTTGTTTCTTGTATACATTATTTTAGCTTTGATTTAAAGCTTTAATTTAAAGTGTAATGCTTGTTTTGTGATTTGTACGTCTGTGTGTTAGAATAAAGTTAAACCAAAGACTGTGTCGCTTCTTTAAACATGTTTGAGGGAAATATTCCTGAGAGATCCAATAATTTTGTCTTTTAAGTATTTTTCAGTTGAATTAACTTTAATTAACAGATTATTTAATAAAGTCAAAGGGAAAACAGGATTTCAAGATAAATCTGGCACTGTTTATTTTAATCTTCACTGATTAAAAGTTCTAGAATTGTGCAGCTCAAGGTGGCTGCATGTTGGAGCAGCTCTCTTACTTTCATTCTGACATTTTGCTTTTGGAAACTTTAATTTCTCTTTTTCTGGATGTAAATCACATTTTTTGGATGATTGTTTCCTCTGGTATCAGATGCTGTGCAGCTGGAAGGATTTTTACTGAAACTATTTTTTAGTTTTGGACATTTGTTATGATGCGTAACCATGGCAACAAGGCAGTTTTCTACAGCCAACAGCTGATTAACATCTCAAAAGCGCAAATAATATCTCAACTACAGCCCCAACTCTCAAATGAGTTGAAAAGGATGTTCTGTGGACGCATTCTCATCTACCTGCCACCTGTGCTCGAGTGCTTGACCACTGAGATCCTGGAACTAGCAGGAAACATGGCTCATGACAGCGGAAGGACAGGATCGTCTCTCGGCACCTACAGTTGGCTGTCCGCAGTGACGAGGAGCTAAACAGACTGCTGGGAGGAGTGGCCATCGCTCTGGGAGGAGTTCTGCCCAGCATTCGGGCGGTCCTACAGCCAAGAACCAAGAGGCCAGCCGAGTCTGGGTGGACGGATTGGACGGCATCTGCAGCCAGTTTCTTAGGATCCACTGGGATAGACCTTTACAAGAGATCCTTCCTGTCTACAGCCATCAGTATCTATAACATCTCTTAATGAAACGAGGATAACGAGTTACAACAACAAATAATTTCCATCCATCCATCCATTATCTTTACCCGCTTATTCCATTTTGGGTCACGGGGGTCGCTGGTGCCCATGTCCAGCAATCACTGTGCGAGGGGCGGGGTACACCCTGGACGGGTCGCAAGTCCATCACAGGGACACATAGAGACAAACGAGACAAACAACCATTCACTCTCTCACTCACACCTAGGGACAATTTAGAGTTACCAATCAGCCTAACATGCATGTTTTTGGACTGTGGGAGGAAACCGGAGTACCCAGAGAAAACCCACGCATGCACGGAGAGAACATGCAAACTCCACCCAGAAAGGCCCCTGGACCGGGGTTTGAACCAAGGACCTGCTCGCTGAGAGGCAGCAGCTCTACCAGTTGCGCCACCGTGCTGCCCCAAATAATTTCCCTTTGGGATTAATAAAGTATTTTTGAATTGAATTGAATTGAATTTTAAAAAAATCCTATTTTTGATACATAAAATGTTTAAAAAAAAAAAACGTTTCTACCCTCCGTCCCTCCATCCCGGTCCTCCCGCCTGCCAGGGCTCGAATCCGACCTTTGTGAGCAGGCGAAGCCGGGGCTCGGGGTTCGGCCTCGCGGGTTTCAATGTCTCGGCAGTTCATATGATCCTCCGCGGTGACACCACTCGCTCGAATTTTGTCGTCGGTCACCAAACACAAAATACACCTGGACTTCAGAATTAAACACGGTGTTGTCATTATTGTTTTTAAAATCTTAAAAATAGATCCAGCCGCTGCTCCGCATCCAGAGAAATTGCAAATGATGGATCGGTAAAAAGTTTCTGAGATCCAGTGACTCCTCCCCCTGACCAATCAGAGTTCACGTTTCGGTTCCGACTCAGCTCAGCTGAGCTCGCGCGGTCCCACCAGAGAAGCAGGGACAAAAAGAGGTCTTGAATCAGCCTCAAATCAGCTAAATAAACTAGCTAAAGGGCTGGTGCAAAGGGTTCTTTCTGTTGAGAGCTGCCCAGAATTGGGGCTTATTGGGGCAGTGCAAAAGGGGCAGTAGTAAGTATGCATATAGTTTGTATGTGCATGCACATCCTGTATGCACAAGTCTGTTTTTTTGGTATATTTTCCAAATATCTGTCGTTCCATTAGTCAAAACTTGAATAGCAACGTTTTAAGTTCTGCATTAATCAAAATGATTTCTTCCCCTAGAGGCACATGCAGATCTAAGAGACAAGTCCAGCAGTTCTGCTCGGAAGGAGCTCTCCAGCTCCTCTAGCCCTCCACCCACCTCCTCGTTGACTTGGGGCCCTGCAGCCTTGCAGTCCACCTCCTTGGAGCAGGTACAGGCCTCATCTGAGAAGAGCTTCCCAGGAACCTGTAAACCATTAGATGCATTCTTTCACTTTGCCTGCATCCTGTTTGCCAAACTTAGCCTCTGACAGCCAGTTGTGGAACCTGTTTTGAGTTACTTTCAGAGTTTGAGCTGCGTGAAATCTGTCTGGTTTTTACAGCTGGAGGAGGATGAAGCCAAGGATAGTTTTGACGTGGATGTTGCTGTCACCAACCCAGAGAAAGTTGGTCAGTCCATTTGTGTTTGTATTTGGAAAGTAAAGTGATACACTGAGGAATAGCAACAGTTTAGTTTTGCAGATTTAGTTCTTTATAAAGTTAATTTTAGACTGAAGAAGTATTAATTCTGTATTCCTTTTATTTCATTTCTTGTAGGAGACGGCATGAATGCATATGTTGCCTACAAAGTGTCAACAAGGGTCTGCATTTCTGCGTATTTTTATACATTTTTAAACTACCCTTGTTCTTGGTTATTCACATCTTTTTTAATCTTCCTCCAGAGCTCCTTGGCCATGTTTAAAAGCAAGGCCTTTACTGTAAGGAGACGTTTCAGTGACTTCCTGGGTCTTTACGAGAAGCTCTCTGTTAAGCAGTCGCTGCACGGCTGCATCATCCCACCACCTCCTGAGAAAAGTGTTGTAGGTGGGAACACGTCTTTAAAGTTTAATGTTTGCACATGGTGCTCTTTACAGTTTTGTAACTGTTGTTTGAACCAACAGGAATGACCAAAGTGAAGGTGGGGATGGACGACCCGTCATCTGTGGAGTTTGTGGAAAGGAGAAGAGCGGCCCTGGAGAGGTGAGGATCCATGTTTTCATTCAGTGACTATATTAAAGAAAATACATGACAACTTTATTTATAAAGCACTTTAAAAACAATGCCGTTGGCCAACGTGCTGTACACAGACACATACATGACACATACAATGTTCATGTTTGTGCTGATGTTCAATGTTTTATGTTATGAGTGCTTAGTGTATATTTAGTTGATGTTTTTCTTAGTTCATATCTTAGATGTTATTACTGTTTTTCTTAGACATTTTATTGTTGGATGTAACTGGGACCCCGTGTACATAATTTCGCTCCACCACATGTACCACATGAGGTGCGAATGACAATAAAGAAACTCTGACTCTGACTGATACAAGCAAGAATAAAACTCATAAAATCAACAGATACTGTAAAAGTAACAAACTGTTAAAATCATAAAACTTTAAACAGTAAAACAATAAAACAAATAACTTAAAAACAGTAAAACCAACATTTCAAGCGGAGTTAAAAGCCAAAAAGAAAAAAAAAGTGTTTTCAGAGATGATTTACAAACAGGAAGTGAGTCAGCTTGTCTGACGTCCAAAGGCAGCGAATGAAAACCTCTCAGCCTCCTGTTGGACTTTGGGATGACCAACAGCAGCTGATCTGCTGACCTGAGAGCATGAGGGGACATACAGCTGGAGCAGGTCGGACAGATACTGTGGGGTGAGACCATGAAGACATTTGTATACAAACAAAAGAATCTTAAAATTAATCCGGAAACAAACTGGTAGCCAATGTAGTGATTCTAGAACTGGGGTGATGTGCTTTTGTTTTCTGGTACCAGTTAAAAGGCGAGCAGCAGCATTCTGAACGAGCTGAAGTCGAGTCAGTATAATGACTGTCTCAAACTGACATAAAGTGAATTACAGTAATCCATACAAGTTGTAATAAAAGCATGGATTAAAATCTCAAAATGATGTGATGGAAATGGTTTGACCTCGGCCAGTTGTCTCAGGTAATAAACGCTGAACTTGATCACTGATTTAATCTGTGCATCTAGTTTAAGATCATTGTCCAGCCTCACACCCAGGTTTGTTGCCGTTTCAGTCAGATGTTGCGTGAAAGGACCCAGCTCAGACTGGACTTTGGAAATATCACTGAGCTTAAACAACAAGACCTCTGTTTTTTGCTCATTAAAATGTAAAAAGTTCTGTGACATCCATGCTCTGACTTCTGCCATACATTCCAGGAGTTGCTTCACTGAGTACTGTTTGTCTTGTTTTAATGGCACATAAATTTGGCTGTTATCAATATAAAAATGAAAAGTAACACCATGTTTATGGAGAATATATCCCAGAGAGAGTAAATAAATGTAAAACAGAAGGGGGCCAAGTATAGGTCCCTGAGGTACTCCACATGTGAGAGGTGATACAGAGCACCAACACACACACACAACATCTTCTCTCTGTTAAATAGGATCTAAACCACTGTAGAGCAGGACCCTGAATGCCCACCCAGTTCTCCAGGCGAGACAGGAGGATGTGATGGTCCACTGTGTCGAAGGCAGCAGTTAAAACGTTGGTTACGTACTGCAACCCCAGATTCTATGAGTTTAGGCGTAGCCCTTTAAGAGCTGTCGCTGGTGGGTTTATCCCGTCATGCAAAAACATCGCACTGAAAAGTTTAGTCCATGCCCACCTGTTGTGTGGGCCCCACCCGGTCTATATAAATTACGTTAAGAGCGGGTAATCGGCTCCCAAATAGCTTTTTCTTCAGCCATTTAGTAGCCAGTGAGGCCCGACGCTTAAAGGGCTATGCCTATACTTATAGAATCTGGGGTTACAGTACGTAACAAACGTTCTATTTCGTATAGGCGTAGCCCTTTAAGAGCTGTCGCTGGTGGGTTAAAGGCGAAGCATGATGTGGTCCCCGCCTCACTGGGTCCATTCGAACACCATAAGAAGTGCCCGCTTGCCCAAAAAAAACCATCTGGTCACTCGGCTCTCCCATGTGCGTAAATACGCGTTGCGTAATTACACGTACCATGCACAGACGCGCGCTGCGTAGTTTATGCGTTCCGACTGCACGAACGCCCCGAAAAAGTTTTCAACGGGAAAGAGGAGAGGCTGAAAAGGGCCGTGAACAGAGCAGATCCACGTCTCTTTAACATGAACAGATTAATAATAAGTGAACTGATTATTAATCAAATGAACTGATTGATGACATAAGTCATGAACTGATTAGTGACCATAGAACAAGAACAACAGTCATAACCTGTGACTGATAACAACATCTCACACTGTAATGTATGCAGTCAGATGTGAGTTTAAACGAGATTCCATGAAACAACAATATTCATTCTGTCAAGGCACTAAGGACAGAATGTGTCATGGAACAAGCCGACACGTCACGTAAATAGAAGCGGATAATTGAACAGGGTGTTCACCACGCGGCCGCAGTGCAAATGTCCTGCATTGTCATACCATTATGCAAAGCAGTCGAAGATGCGATACCTCTGGTCGAATGCGCCCTGAGGTTGTCGGGAGGCTCTAAATCTGATGCTCTGTAGGCTTCAGAGATGGCTTCACACAGCCGGTGTGACAGACGCTGGGTGGATAACGGGCGACCTGCAGATGCATCTCTATAATGCACAAACAAATGTTGAGTTTGACGCAGTGCCGCCGTGCGTGCTACGTAACACGTCAACGCACGCACAGGGCAGAGAAGATGGAAAGATGTTTCTTCTTCTGATTTGTGGGGAGGAGGGAAAAATCTCTCCAACGCTATCACTCTTGATTTAAATGAGCTTGTGATGTTTTAGGCATAAACGCTGGGTTAAGTCTCAGATCAGCTGAGCTGCCATCAGCCTGAATTCTGAGACATGACAGAGCGACAGAGAGGGCAGATAAATCACTCACCCTCTTTGCGGATGTTAAAGCAAACAGCATGGCTGTTTTAAGAGACAAGAATTTAATCGGAACCTGATCTAGTGGCTCGAATGGAGCTTTGATCAGGGCTCGCAGAACCAGCGTTAAATCCCACTGTGGAGAAAGTGGGCGTGATCCAGGCCTGCGCCTCTGCACACCTTTTAAAACACGCTTCATCAGCGGATGATTAAAAGCTGTTCTGTCTCCGAAACCTTTGTGACAAGAGGAGAGCATCCTCCTTCCACGGCAGTTTCCACGGGCGACCCGATAACGGGCGTCGTAGAATTGGGAACCACGGGGCGTTCACGCGCTCGGGAGCCACCAGGAGAGCTGTCAGTCCCTCCTCCCCAACTCTGTTCAGAAACCGTGATATCAGAGGGAGTGGGGGAAATGCGTAAAGAAGCATTTTGGGCCACGGGCTGTGAGCAAACGCGTCCACCCCTAGCGGTGGTTCGTCCCGCGGGCTCAGTGAGAACCGTAGTTGACACTGAGTGTTCTCTTGTGTGGCAAACGGGTCCATGGCCGCTCTGCTAAATTTCTGCCACATCTGAGCCATCAGCTCGGGATGGAGGCTCCTGTCCCAGTGACGCGGACCGCCCCTGGACATCACATCCGCTCCTCTGTTCAGAACGCCGGGGATGTACACTGCTCTGATGGAGAGCAGATTTTGGTGTGCCCAACACAGCAGCCGTCTCGCAATGTGTAACATTTGGGCTGAGCGCACACCCCCCTGCGCACCCCCCCTGCCTGTTTATGTATGCTGCAGTCACTTTGTTGTCTGTGTGAATCAGAACATGTTGATTCCGCAGCACAGGAGCAAAATGTTGAATCACATTCAAAACCGTGCGACATTCCAAAACATTTATATGAGCTGCTGTGTGGGGTGGCCACAGCGCCCCCACAGCTCGGGACATGCATGTGCCTCCCCAGCCTGACAGGTCTGTGAAAACTGAGATGTGTGACGTAGGTCTGCTGACAGGAACTCCCTCCGACATAACAAGAGGGTTTCCCCAGTGTCTCAGGTTGATTCTCACAGAGGGGGGCACAGCAATCAACCGTCTCTTCTGCTTCACTGGGTCCACATGCAAATGAGTGAACCACCTCTGGAGGCGTCGCACCTTGTGAGCAGACGACATCGTCCCTAATAACTTCATGACGGAAACAGCTGTTATCACTCTGCCGGGCTTCATGTGGCGGAGCTGGTCCTTTAGAGCTTCGTTTCTTGTCTGAGATAAACGAGCCCTCATAGTGACCGCGTTTAGCTCCACTCCCAGATAAACGATCGTCTGGGCCGGGTGAACTGAGCTCTTCTCCCAGTTTATGGTGAAGCCCAGATTTTGCAGGTGTGACTTCAGCGCCTGAGTTTGCACTGCTGCCTCTTGTCTGGAACGGGTCAGCAGCAACAGATCGTCCAGATAAAACAGAATTCTCATCCCTGCTCTGTGTAGCGGCTGCAGAGCCGACTCCACGCATTTTGAAAACGTGCGTGGCACGAGGGAATACCCGAACGGAAGTCTGTTGTATTGATACTGGGTTCCTTGAAAGGAGAAGCACAGGAACTTTCTGTGCTTTGGAATGATCGGAATGTTTAACAATTGTCTGGTTGTCAACATGTGAAAATGTCTCTCCATGATCGACTTGTTGAAAATTGACTAATCCAAGATGGGTCTCATCCCTCCGGTCCGTTTTGGGACCAGGAAGTAACGAGAGTAAAACCCTGTGTTTTCCTCTCCGTCTGGAACCCTGGAAATTATATTTTTATCAGAATTTCCTGAACTTCTGCGTGGAGGAACGAGATCTGTTCTGGAGATGACAGAACCGTCTCTAAAATTCCTCCGAACGAGGGGGGTTGAGCTGCAAACTGCAGCGTGTATCCCCTGCTGATAAGATGGTTCATCCATCTGTCTAGAGCGCACGCTTTCTGCCACTCCGCGTAACGTTCGGGAAGCGGGCACGCGTTTTGTGCTGCGTCATGTTTTTTATGGACGCCAACTAAGTTACAGCCTCCACCACCGTCATGTGCTACGGAGGCGTACTCCGAGCAAGGAGAGGCTTCCTCAAAGGGGCCCTGAAGGCGCCTCTGTGCCACGCTCAGGCTGCGGGCTCACATCCGTGCTGATGTGAGCTGGCGTGCACCGAGGGGAGGCATGCGCGCCCTTGGCCATGCAGTGCCGTTTAGGCGGGGACGTGCATTTGTCACCGCTGCGGTCAGAGGAGGCAGCGCACAGCCTGGGCTGAGAGCGAGGTTTCCCACTGGACTCGGTCTGCTGAAAACATTCACTTCTGGCTGCTGTCACGCGCGCATTTTGCGTATTTTCTCGAGCTGCGGTGATTTTAAAAACCTGTTTTGAGGACACCAGCTCACTTTGTGTGGAGGATGTGTGAAAAGAAGCTGCTGTGAGATCATTCGAACTGACAGTCAGGCTGAAATCAGACACTTTAATTTCTGAATGATGTTTACATTTTATTTCAAAACTCAAGCCATCATTGTGCACACACACATCCTCCGCAAGGAGTCATTTTTTGAATCTTCTCCCCCGTGAGCCCTGAGGCTGGTTGTTTCAGGACAGCGCCTGTTGGCGGTCTTTGGGGAAACGCTGCACAGCTGGTTGCTGGGATGAGGAGGTCTGTTCTCTGACAGGAGGGGCTGGTGGCGGAGCGGAGTCAGAAGACGTTGCTGCAGCTGTGGAGCATCTCTGCTGCTGCCTCTGGCCACGGCGCTCTCTCCAGCGGGCGGGTTGGGGTGGGGGGGTGGAGAGGAGGAGGAGTGCGGCTTGATCAGATGGCGCACAGTCTCCGACACCTCCTCCGACTTCTTCGATTTCTCGAGCATGGCCTTGAAATTGGCTCCGAACAGTGCGTCCGTCGTGATGGGGCCCTCCAGAAAGTCCTTCTGCAGCTTCTCCGACAGGCTGCGATGCGAGACAGGCAGACGGCAGAGGAGGTGCACAGGTTGAGGATGACATCGGACGCCTTGCAGAGGGAGCTCTTCGTCTCTTCAGGCAGGTCTGTTCCCTCCAGCCTCTTTGAGATGCTGTACGCCAGCAGCGCAACGTTATTGTTCGTTGCAGCTGCTTGGAACGCACACTGGTGAGCTCTGTTGGAGAGCGACGTCACCGTCTGGTCATGCTTCCCCGGAGGCACAGGACGCTGGTTCAACCTGGACATCTTCGCTCCGAGAGCCTCCGCCAGGCTTGGCTCCAGGGGGGGCACCGAGGGAAAATTCCGCTCTGTAAACCCCTCCACTCTGGTGATGGGCGCAAATGTGGAAACCGATGCTCTGTCTACCAGGTCCTGCTGCAGCCTCGTTCCAGTAGGACGTCACTGCTGGGAAACAAGGCCAGATGGGATCAGGACGGCGAGCCGGGGTGGAGCCAAACCTTCCCGCTAGATCATCCGATCTGGGCGGAGGGAGGAGAGGGACGGAAAGTCCCTTCATGTCAGCCGCCTCCTGGATTATGCTGGGCAGCTCCGAGAGGAGGGCACCGACAGCTGGGAGTGGTGTGGTCGCTGATGCGGAAAGGCCCGGGGGGTGGGGGGGGGGGGGGGGGGTGAGCATCCGCTTGGCCCCCCTCGTTCAGACACTACGCTCTCCAGGAGGGAGTGAGCAGTCCCGGAGGAACCATCCGATTCGCTCCGAGAGTCTGCGTTAACGAAGGTCGATGGCGTCGTCCAACAGGTAGCGGCCCGCCACGGAAAAGTACTCCTCGGCTCTTACCTTGAAACAAGGCTGCTCCTCTGCTTCTCCTCGTGGAGGAAGAACTCACCGGGATGGCAGGAGGTTGGCGTGGCGGAGACCCAGGCAGCCTTAGCAAAGGTCGTGCCGGTCAAAGCTGGACAACTTTCCTACTTTGTTCTTCTGACAGTGCTATTAGCTCGCTGAAGAAAAATGGGAGCCGATTACCTGCTCTTAACGTAATTTATACGGACCAGGTGGGGCCCACACAACAGGTGGGCATGGACTAAACTTTTCAGTGCGATGCTTTGCATGATGGGATAAACCCACCAGCGACAGCTCTTAAAGGGTGAAGCCTATACGAAATAGAACTACAGTGACCAGAGTCTGTGGCTTAGAGAATGTCATTAAAAACTTTCAGCAGTGCTGACTCAGTACTGTGGTGAGTTTTAAAACCAGATTGAAATAGTTCAAGAAGGTTGTGCTCTCAAAAAGAACATTAGGGTTTGGGCCTGATGCCTTGTTGGGTGCAGATGTGGTTGTGCTCCCTCCCAAACTGACTTTCAGAGTCTGTTTTATCTCGTTCCTCACTGTGTCCTGTCTCCACGATGCAGGTATCTGCAGAGAGTTGTGTCTCACCCACTGTTACTACAAGATCCTGATGTTCGTGAATTTCTGGAAAGAGAAGAGGTGAGTGCTTTTAAGTTTAGAATAAAAAAAAGTTTGTATGGCAAGACATTTTGGATGCATCTGTTTTATATTTATTTAAAGCCAAAGTAATTTACAGGGTAATGTTTGTGCATTTATTTTCAGCTACCCAGAGCAGTAAACACCCAGACGCTCAGTGGAGCTGGTTTCCTCAAGATGATCAGCAAGGCATCGGATGCTGTCAGCAAGATGACCATCAAGATGAACGAGTCTGACACTGTAAGCAAAGTTTTTTCCATCAGTCACTGTTCTCTTCAGCTCATATGCTCTGCATTTGTAGAAAAATTCAGTCTGTCAGATTATACAAATTGGATCAATTAACCATCTGCACAGTGGATAGCACAAGCCTTCTCTGGGTAGGTTAGATAACTTGACACCAGGTAGCTGTGTGTGTCCATGATGGTCTCTGTGTGACCCTGTGATATAGAATAAATAATGATAAATCAGAAAAACATCAGCAGTAGCGCTAAAACAACTTTAAGTTGACTGTGCACGAGTCCAAGTTAGTCCCAAAAAAGTCAATTAGGACAAAAATAACGTTTTAGTTTTAAATACTTTTTATGTAATGGATTGCCATGATTCATAAGACAAACAGGTCTCCCATTTAAAGCTGATAAGGCTGTGTGTTTGTTTTAGCACGTTGTCACCCCCTCCTTGTCTTTCAGTGGTTTGAGGACAAATTCCAGGAAGTGGAGGCTGAAGAGCAGCAGCTGAGGAAGCTTCATGCTGTGGTTGACTCCCTTGTCAATCACAGGAAAGGTAAGTTTTATGTTTACTTTTTTTCTAATTAGATTTCCTATTTATGGGGAGAAAAAAAACTGCAGATTTGACTAAAATTATTAGTTTAAACATGTTTCTGTTTCTTCCTTCAACACCAGAGCTCTGTGGGAACACAGCCATGTTTGCCAAAAGTGTGGCCATGCTGGGGAACTCTGAGGACAACACAGCCTTGTCTCGAGCCCTGTCCCAGCTGGCCGAGGTGGAGGACAAGATGGAGCAGCTGCACCAGGAGCAGGCAGCCAGTGATTTCTTCATCTTGGCAGAGCTGCTTGCTGACTACATACGCCTGCTGGGCGCTGTGAGGGTAAGCTGCCACTGAAACAGTCAGAGGAAATATAACTGGTGGGGGGGGAAACTTTTACAGTGAACAAAGAAAAGTACTCATTAACACTTTAAGCCAAATAATCTAAAGTTACCGTAATTTCCGGACTATAAACAGCTACTTTTTTTTTTTTTTACAGGCTTTGAACCCCGCGACTTATACAATACTGCGGCTAATTTATGGATTTTTTTTTTTTTTTGACGGGTTGACGAGCTTCATGCCGCCAAAATATTTAGCCTCGTCACACCCAGGCGCTCACATAGCTGCCCACACGTCTCTCTTGGGGGATGGGTCCTTGTGACACAATGAGATTACCTGTATAAATAAAGATTTTTAAAAAAATTTGACCAATGAAATTACCCAACAGGTCACAGTGGACCTATGAAATTTCGAATTACTGTAAATCAAACGCACTCGCACTAAATTCTTCGGGTCAGTTATTTTGTGCTTCATGTACAGACTCTTCATGGAAAACACATGAAGAAATGCAGGCCATCCATCTGGCTGTCGAAGAAGGAAACAGAGCTGCTGTACATAAGCTTGGCGTCAATGAATCGATGTTGAGGCGTTGGAGACGGCAGCGTGAAGAACTGAATCAGTGCAAAAAGACAACTAAAGCTTTCAGAGGTTTTAAAAAAAAAAAAGGCAGATGGCCTGAACTTGAAATCATTCTTGAAGACTGGGTGAACACACAGAGAGCAGATGCTCAAGGCGTTTCCACCGTGCAGATCCAACTGAAAGCCCAAACAATCGCCACCGAAAACAAGATTGAAGGTTTTAGAGGTGGACCATTGTGTGTCTCAGATTTATGAGATGAAAAGGCCGTAGAACATAGCGATCTGGGACTTTTCCTGGTAGGCTACTGTATTTCTATTTTTCTTTTTTAACCAGCTGTGTTACAGGCACTGTTCAGAAAACAAACAAAAAAAACATTTACTGTACGTGTTTGCGTATGTTACCGGTACATATTTAATTAAAAGTTTTTAAAAATCTTTGTGTATATAGAAAGTTGTGGACACCTGTGACTTATAGACAAGTGTGGCCTATATATGTACAATTTTATTTAATGTTTTGTGGGAGTGACTAATATTCAGGTGTGCGCAATAGTCCGGAAATTACGGTATATTAAACGTGCCTCCCAGTATAAAGCAATAAACATTAAACATCAAGTGAACGTGACTCCACTGGAGTGCCAGCAGCACACCTTTTTCCTGCTTTGCAAATGTGTAAAGTTAAACTTTTTAGTTATATATTTTTTATTAAACCCTTAAAATAGTGTCTGCTGCCTGTTCAGATTAATGTTAATACCATCCAGGGGTTGCCACTGCTTTAACTAATTAGACATGAATGTGTGCAGGGGGGCTTTGACCAGCGCATTCGGGCATGGCAGCGATGGCAGGAGGCTCAGAGCACACTCCAGAAGAAGAGAGAGGCCGAAGCCAAGCTGCTGTGGGCTAACAAACCTGACAAACTGCAGCAGGCCAAAGAGGAGATCAGTGAGGTAACGAGCACAGTGACCGAACAGTTCAAAGTATTTACAGTACACCAACAGAACCTGTTGTGACTTCTCTGTTCTCGTCCAGTTCTGTTTACAATAAACTGAAGATTGCACAACCTGATGTGCAGATTACAATAATCCTGCCCCCCAAAATAGTTTTCTTTAACTTGGCTTTATTTATTTTTAGTCCAAACAACTTCCTCATAATCTCAAAAATAACTCATTTGCCTCTGACCTGACCCTCCTACACTGTAAATTGTCCACTTTTTCCAAAGTGGAGGAGGGTTAAACAGAAACCTGCTGACAGCAGCATGCTTGGTTACACTTCACACCAACTCTGCCAACTCTGTTCTGAGACTACCCGTGTCGTCAGCCCAGAAGCACAACAACAGTGGGTTAACTTAAACCTCCAGCATGTCTCAGTTATTTTCAAATATGAGGGCGATTCAGGACCGGTCTGAAAGTGCTGAGAAGATTCAGTAGTGTCCATCTTTATAAACAGTCCTGTTTTTGTGTGAGGAAAAAGAAGCTTTCATTAACATTCAGATGTCTTCAGGAAGAAGTCTGGTTATTTATCATGTTCTGTTCAGGGTTCTGAGGCAGAATTGAACATGTACGTGTTTCAAGTTCAAGAATCTTTATTATCCCCGAGGGGCAAGTTGTTTCACAGTCAGTAGGCACACAAAACATTCATAGACATTGAGACATTAAAATAACAGAAAACATCGGTGTTCGTTGAGAAGCCTGATCGCTACAGAGATGAATGAGTTTTCAGTCTGTTCGTTCTACATCTGGGCAGCAGATACCTGCGTCCACATGGAAACAACCTGAACTCACCATGGTGTGGATGATCAGGATCTGCCAGAATCAGCCTGACCTTGTTCACTGACCTCACCTTGTGTAGGTCAGTGAGGTTCTGTAGAGCTATGCCAGCAGTTTTGCTGCACATCCTGACAATCCCTGAGTTTGTTCCTGTTTTTGCATGTTAACAATCCAAACTAACAGATGAAGGTGAAAGGTAAGAGATTCAAAACATGAATAAAACATTCTCATAAAAGTCGAATCAACATTAAACCCACAGAGCTTCAGATAAAAATACATTCTCTGGTTGGCCTTCTTACAAAGTGAGTTCACACGGGGGTCAAAGGTCAGTTTGTCATCTAGAACAGTTCCCATATATTTATACTGATGCACCATCAACAGCTTCACCGTTGATGACCACAGGAGTGGCAACTGAAGAGTCTTATAAAATCAATCATCATTGTGTTACTAATGTATTACTTCTTAAGGTTAAAACAACTGTTTATTCTTTTAATTTTCAAGACATGTAGTCAAATCTTCAATGTGAAATATTAATATGTTTCTTGTTTTCTCCTCCTGTTCGTCCTCAGTGGGAGGTGAGAGTTACTCAGTATGAGAGAGATTTTGACAGGATTGGCATGACCGTACGCAAGGAGATTCTCAGATTTGAGGTATGTTGAAAAAGGCTTCTATTTGTCTCAACCACTTTGGAGCTTACACTTCATCTTGAAAGAATCTGCAGTCTCAGAGAAAAGAGCGTTCTTTCTATAGACACTATATTTCCTAGACGTGCAGCTTCTCTTGTACTTGCAGTATAGTAAGTGCTTGAAAAGGCACTTTATTGTGAGATCGGGGTCATTGTAAACCACATTCCAAAGCATCTTGAAATGAGACTTTTCTTTCAAGGATTGGGGTTAGATTTCAGAGTCAGGTTTAGTGTTGAGACGACTTTCAGCCATTCTGAAGGTGTGTTTCTAGGATCTGTAATGTAACACTCTGTGCATCAGATGCCCAGGAAGTTTGCAAAGACGTTCCTCGGAGGATTTACCTTATGTAGCTGACTTTGTCGTTCCCCAAACTCCGCATGTAGCACCATCATGCGACTGACATTAATGAAATATCCCGACGACCTAGAAAACAGTTTTACATTTCTTAAAGAAAAATACCAATTTATTTGAAACGTTCATTTTACAGTAGTCCCTCGTTTATTGTGGGGGTTCTGTTCTGAACCCGCCCGCAATAAGTGAAATTTCGCAAAGTAGCGACGTTATATTTATTTTAGTATTTATAAATTAAGGCTTTATAAACCCTTCCCACACTCTTTCAATGTTCTAAACTCTTTAACCTACATCATTTTAACAACATGCATATACTGTATGTACTGTATATGTAGCTACTACAGTTTACTCACCAGGCTGTGCAGAACAGCAGCGGCTCTCGGTTCCGGTCCGACTCGGTTCGTTTCTGCAGACGTAACCTCCAGCGATGAAGCCCACAATCAGTGTTCTCAACTCTTAAACATACCAGTTTTAACAACATACTTGTATGTAGATACTAAATTTTACTTACCAGCATGTCCCCGCTCGCATGTCCTCGTGGGCCGGCTAGGAGCTCTTGGGTTCATCGCTGAGTCTGGGGGTCTGGTTCTGGTCCAGTTCAGTGCGGCGAATCGCATTTGGGGGGGACATTCGGTTGGCCGGCACAGGACTGTAAGTGGTCGACTGAGTCCAAGTCTGGATGAAAAAAGTCCCGGTGGGCTATGGAAACAGTCCCCACTTACAGTGGCGCGTAATACTTGGAAGTCCTCTTTGGCCGGCTACAGCTCTCAAGATTCACCGATGGGTCTGGAGGTCTGGTTCTGGTCCAGTTCGGTGGGTTCCTTGCAGCTTCTCTGCATCTCTCGACACCGAAGTCACTGTAATAAGTGCCAAACTTTTTCCTATCAGATCAAAACTTTCCCTCTAGTATTTCAGCAGAAGGAACAGGGGCTTCTGGCCGGGGCACTGTTGGCTTCTGGGAAATGTGGTAATTATGAGCGGGGATACAGTGGAGGATATTATGGAGAGAAAACTACAAAATGGTGGCGCCTGTCCAAAATATTATTTTTTCATTAACTTTTTACTGTACAGTATCCAGTACTGTCCCAATTGCGTGAGTAATATTAAAACTGACAATTATGTCCTGTACAATTATTATTTTGTACAATATTATGGACTGTACGTCCACAAACTACAATGAAGCGAGTCCGCAGAAGTCGAACCGCAAAGTAGCGAGGGACTGCTGTACTTCATACTTGTAACACTCGTGCTGGTTTTGACCCCTGTAGAATAATACCTTTCTGCATGCGCTGTGTAAGAATTTGACGTTCTGCTAAAAGAATGTCTACAGCTGGCCCTCCTGTTGCCAAAGATCTTGACATGACAAGATATTTGTCTTCACAGAAAGAAAAGGCCAAGGACTTCAAGAGCCAGATAATCAGATACTTGGATGCAATGCTGCAGTCTCAACAAAGGGTAATTATTCAACCAAACCGTGTGTTTTATTCAGCATGTTCAAACATTTTTAAAAAATGAAGTTCTTACCTTAACCATCTTTATTTGTCTTGGCCTGATTTTATTCCAGCTTATAAAATTTTGGGAGGCGTTCCTGCCTGAGGCAAAGGCAATAGCCTGACGAAGTGGGAGATTTATTATTATTTTTTTTTCTTATTTAAAACTCCGACTGCCTTTTTGAACACTTTTGCCTCTTTAGCGGGAGCTGAGAGAACGATTTTGCAACAAGCAAGAAACTTCCATCCATTTTTTTCTCCTTGTAGTTTATTCTCGTAACTTGTACAGAATTTTGATATAATAAGCCTTTTCACTACAGGGCTCCGACATATTCCCTTGTTTACGTGTTTGATGTTACGATGGTATAAAGCAGAGTTCCAGCTGAGATTAACTTGTCTGTTGAATGTGTGAAACTCACTGTCTTCTCAGTGAGAAATGTGATTTTCTCCCATTGTTAAGTTTTGCGTAAACCAGTATGTTTAAATATTTATATTGAGGTACTCCCTTAAGTATCAGCCTATATGTAGTTTACCTCCAAAGACTAGGTGTATGCAAATATTCATCTCTTAACAGCTTTTGTTTATTACCGTATTTTTTGGACTATAAGGCGCACTGGATTATGAGGCTCACTGTTGATTTTTGAGAAAAGTAAAGGATTTTAATTGTGCCTTATAGTCTGAAAAACACGGTATTCACACACTAAGAAGCAATGCAGTGTTTACACGATCAATGCTTGTAATAAATGAGGTAATTTATCAGAAGTACTGACACACTCCTACAGTATATCACCTGTTGTAATCTGAATATTAAAAACCATACGAGTGTAACCAGGTTTCAGACTGGTCCCAGTTGTTACAAAATAAAAGAACTGTAAGGCAACATTCTTTTTAGGTGTTATTTTGTATAGTGGTACATTTACTAGATCATATTAACCATGTTTGACAACAGCTATTCCATTTAACGAGTCAGAGATGAATTTGAGCCCCAGCAGTGATCGTTTACAACGTGTACTTGAATTACTCAAAAACTCTTGGATATTGTCTGTAACCTTCCTTTTTTGATAAATTGGTTTAAAACATTGGCAGAAATGAACTGGCATTGACGTGTTCCAGGTCGTTATTTTCTGAACCAGCATTTCTACGTGAAGGTATGCCATATTTACACAAGAATGTCATTTATTTTTGTAACCACTTTGCATTCACGCACACTTTTTCCTGGAGATGCTGTACAGGCAGATGTACGAAATAAAAGTTTTCGTTTTTGGGCACTGCTTCTGTGACTTTTATGATCCGTTTTATTGTTTGATTTAGATATTTGGTGATTTTATGGTTAAAAAAATAGTTTTATGTGGGTAAACCAATAACTAAATGCAAGCCTTCAGAAGTTGCTCTTCTGTCCTGTTTAAATAATTTCTGTAGTTCAAATCCTTGAAATTTTAACTAAAGTCGAAACAAAAAAAATGATTGGAGAAAAATGTAAACACACATTCAGTTTTATTTAAATCCAAAATGTGGTTGAAAAGTTACAACTTTTAAGGTAACTGTTCTAAAACTGCATGTGATTATATTTTGACTATGTTGCCTGGAACTTGGACTTTCCCAGGATGAAAAGCAGCACACGCACCCGAACAGATTTTGAGCTCACATGACTTCAGACGATTAAAAAGAGCAGGAGGTGACTTTATTCAGCTGATGTTTGAGTGCATGATTTGTACTTAAATGCATGAACACACTCGCAAGTTTGGATGTAAACAAGACGGGTCTGTTTCTGTTTGTCCATGTCAGTCACGCAGCCATTTAATCAGGATTTCTGCAGTTGTAGCCACATAAACTACAAAAAAAGTTATGTGCAAGTTTTTGGTTATCCCTCATGTTTTGTTAAATCAACTTTGTACATTTATTATACATTTGTGTTTTGAAGACAAAAGACGAGCCGTTAGAAATGAGTGTATTTTACTTCTTGGACGTACAGTGTTGAGAGGTGGTCTGCATTGTTCCACGATGCATCCAGGAATGAGAAGATGCATTATCTTCTGGTGTGAATATTGTGTGCTAAATGACTACCGACGTGTTGAAGCTAAAGTAAGCCGAATTAATTCAACTTTTATTTATGTAGGTTAGTCTCATTGAATCATGAGGACTCATTTACAAGAGAGACTAAACTGAATACTAGCTAAAAGTAACGATATCTAAAAGTAGCAAAAACAGACCAAAAAAGTAGCTAAGATCTTGTTAGCAACCAGCCAAGATGATTTAAAAGTAGCAAAAGGCTGGCCCATGAGCTAAAAGTAGCTTAACGGTAGCTAAAAAAAACGAGTTAAAGTCAAGCTTATCATTCGCATCGCATGTAGTACATGAGGTGAAATGAAATTATGTACTCATGGTCCCAGTTACACCACAAAATGGCTAAAATATAAAGTATAAAAAGAAACAGTATATAAGGATCTAAGATATACACTAAATGGTTCACTAAAAGATCTAAGATGTACACTAAACACTTATAATGTAAAACAAGCGTATCAACAGCAGCCCGAACATGAGTCTGTAGCGAGCAGATGGGTATGAATACAGCAGCATGAGATAATCAGCAGCATGAGATCAGCAGCATGAGACTTGAAAGATAATGTCTTTGAAAGAATTAAAAATGCAGTACAACTATTTTATTGGTGAAGGTTAATATTGTTAAGCACTTTGATAACAGCTGCTGTTTTTAAATGTGCTTTATAGATAAATTTGATTTGACTTAATGGAAGAAATTTTTGAAAAAATATAAAAGTTAAAAAAAATCAACAGCTGCAGCACCTTGATTATCTCTTAAGAGCTAAACTTTTTATTTATTTATGAATGGCAAAAATGCACAACTCTGTACTTAAAATTACAAAAACACGGAAAATAATTTTTTTAAAGAAGAGGAAAACTTTTAAGAACCAGCATTTGGGTTAAAAAGCTTGATCACATTAAATGCAGATGGTGTCTGAACGTGTTTTAGTCTCATATTATGAGTTTTTATAATCCTAATCCGCTCATTGTGTTTTTTTTTCTTCAAAGTGTATTTTATTTCGAACAAATAACAGTACATATAAAGATCAACACAACAAGTAATATCAGAATACATGAAGAGAAAATAAACGGAGGAATAATGGTATACAATTAATATAAAATAACCACATTGGTGTTCAGGTCTTGCAATCTACAAAGTAAAATAAATAAAGTTAAGTAAATGATGGGTAAAATGTACCTTTTAGTCTATACTATTTTCTTAACAAATGCGCAAAAATGCATTCAAATGCAAAAAGAAAAGTAAAAGAAAACGAGATAGTTAAATTTCTTATTGTTTTTACAAGTTTCTGATTATTTAAATTAAGTTTTTCAACAGATTCAATATATATTCATTTTAAGCCAGTTTCTTTAAAATTATTAAATGAAGGGATTATTTCCTCTCCATTTCATTGTGTGGACATGATAATTTGCCGGGATTAGAAATCGCTGTGAGTTCCTGACGGATTAACGGGCAGGCTCGGGTTGACCTGGAAGCGCTGCGAGGCGGGCGGTGCCGTCTTTCTACATCCGCTGTGTCCGAGCAGCAGAAGAATGGAGTGAGGCGCTAACAGAAGCTAGCGTCAAACGGCAGCTACGAGAAGAGGCGCAGAAAAATTCACATGAAGCCCCCCGGTGTTTGTCTGCGCTTGACGTGAATCCCACCCGAGCTGCGCCCTGCTCTTCTGGCTTCTCTCCTCTGGAAGGTGAGCCCGCTGTGTTGCTCTGCGGGAAGTTAGTGGAACAACGTTTGTTGGGAGGTGTTTCTTGCCATTAGCTCGGATTTTTTTGTTGCTAACAGCTAATTTCCTTGTTGCGCTCGGGCCAGCTGTCACCTAGCCACCAGTTGGGTGTTCGGCAAGAATAAATGAAATTAACAACGTGCTTGCTTTGGCTTTGACCATCTAAACAAGTATTTTAAAAGGCAAACAAGAAAACATTCGTGTCGTATTGTTTTTCCACAAGAATGCATTTTAGTTCAGACCAAGCACTAGCTAAGAAATGTTTTGCTAACGTTAGCTCTGCGGCTAACACAAGTCGCGTTTGATGTTCACCAAGGTTGATTTGCGTTAGTCGTTCGTTTCCTCATTAATATGACCACCACTTGTGATAAAGTGCCACGCTCGGCTTTGTCAGTAAAATAATTCCCAGCTCGTCTACTTGTTTTGGTTCAACTTTAGGCCTGCAAATAATCGATCTTCTTCCTGGCTGCCTCTCTAACATTCACCACAGCTTTAGTTTTTGCTTTTATCTGCTTCTCACTTGAATGTTTTAAAACGACACTACGGAATAATAAGAATTGCTAACTCTGAGTTAAGGTCCCCCCAAAAAGTTGTATTAATATGTAGTGAAGTAAGTTTTGTTCGGAGGCAAACGTTGCCGGTAGAAATCAGAAGCCCGGAGTGATTCTGGTGCAACTTTCATTTCCTGGATGAGCTGCATGCAGAAGATGAAGGCTATGGATGGATCTTCATCATGCCACTTTGTTTTTCTTCTCCATTTAATGCCACAATAAGGTAAAAGTTTCAGCTTAACATAATATCATTCAGGATAATTCACAATTGTGCCATTTTAAGTTGTACTAGAACTATTTCAAGTTGTTGTAGGCTTGGCAGTCTGATTATTTCATGTAAACATAAACATTGATTTTATGGCTCAGCAGTTTTCAAGCTTTGAAAAGAGTGTGTCTTAGTGTGGAGACAAAAAAAAATCTAACCATTCTTGTAAATGTGCTTGCATGGATAAAGGATGTGGTGTTGGAGGTAAAACGTGTAACCATGAGGATTTTAAGTTCCCGACAGTTTATTTGAGAAGCGAAGCAGCTGGTAGTTGGCACCACCACCTCAGTGGGAGTCTGCTCTGCTGGCAGCCCCCCCCTCAACGTCTGATCTTTCCACTGAAGGTTAATCACTGCACTGGGAGACGGTTTGTTTTTATTTATACATCTAACAAGCATGTCAATGCAGTAGTCATTTTAATTCATACTAATCGGCTAGAAGTACCTCGGTATTTCTAGATATTTTGAGAAGTGGAAGGGAGTAGACTGTAATCAAATTTAATATTCTTCTTCTTCTGGCTTTTCCATCTTCAGGGGTTGCCACAGTGAGTCATCCTCCATCTCACTCTGGCCTCACTCCATCTACCTCCATGTCTCCAACTGCATCCATGTTTCTCCTCCTTTTCTTTTTCCTGGCAGCTGCATTTCTAACATCCTTCTACCAATATACCCACTGTCCCTCTTCTGGACATGTCCAAACCATCTCAGTCTGGTTTCTCTAACTTTATCTCCCAGTTGTTCAACCTGTGCTGTACTTCTGATGATCTCATTCCTGATCTTAGCAA